ATTACATATCAGATGCCATATGGAATTACGGTTCTCGAGACACAAACAGTTTGTGATAATCGATTTAATTGATGCAATAACTTATTCATGCCACTTGATAAAGTCAATTATGATTAAAACATGACAAATCATGATCAATTATCAAAGCATCATATTTCCTAACGCATAAYCATGATCATGYTGTGATGGRTATAAAGCTCAAGGCGATACTTACCTCGATCGGTAATRGGACGGAACTCTCTGAACTTATYCTATCGCACTGAGTTATGATGGAGGGACAACGTCTTTGATCAAACGGTTTAAACGTCTTTTCCAAATTGATGATTTTCGGTATGACCGATCGAACTAACAAATAACCAAACGAACAAATATCAAATTATGATATTCAAACTATAAAAHAAACCGTGTAATGATAAGCAATCATGTATTATAGTGAAAGCAMATCATATTATGACCTAGACATAATCATGAATCTATAAAACACGAACCATGTATCAATTAGTATATAAATATCATATAAAGATGATTAGATTTCCACTTTATAAATTAAATTAACAGAGCATCTTATTTAGGTCAATATTTCGTCTTATTCATAATTGTATTTGCAGTTGAACAAGAAAGGACTCTATGTTTCGTAACATATAAAGTAACAACTATGAATTATAGCTTAACATATTAGACAACCATTCTGAGACAATCAATAAAGCTATAAAGAAATTAAAACATGGATGAATCGCATGTAAAACATGTTTCGATCTTTGCAAATCAAATAAAACCATGAAGCGTGAAAATCAGATTAAGCAATAGTCAATAATGAAACAAATAGTAAAACATGCTTTATCAAARCAATAAACRAGATCGATAATAAAACAGTACTTCAATACTCGATAACATAAATTAATAAAGCATGAGAGAATTCAACTTATCTCGATAGAAACGTAGTGAAAGTAGGAGACATTGAACAAACGGAGAAGAAACAAACAGCTAGGTTTTTGTGCGTAGACGGTTAGGATTTCGTATTCAGACGACTAGGGTTTTTGTTTTATTCAGTGGTTAGGGTTTTTGGATTTTGCTCGGACGGCTAGACTATCGTGCTGATAACGTGTTATGAATAAGAGAAAGAGAGAAGGAATTGTGTTGTGTTATTCCATCAATAATAGAGAGTATATATAGGATTACAAATACTTAGGGAATAAGTAGAACTTGGAGAACAAGTAAGTCTAGAATATTATAGAACATGAGCCTATGAGCCTATAATAGACATCTGGGTTTATAACAATAATATGTTTTTCTAATTATATGTTCACATTTTTTTTTTTTTAAATTAACTGTGTGGTGGTGAACGGTGATAGACAAAATTTACTGTGTGTTGGAGAAACTAATGATGTCTTGTTCAAAGCAGCTCATTTGATCAATGGCGGATAGAGATTAATGGGTCACTGTGCTTTTGACACACAATGATTGAACTCAAGCTCCAACCCGTCACTAATCTTTCTATCAACAACGATGGTCGTTGAAGAGCGAAGCGATAAGGCTCTGGTTGCGTAGGGTTTCTTCGTTTTTCTGACCCTTTTGGTTTCTTTAATTGGAAATGGAAATTGGAATTCACAACGGATTGAGAAGTTGGGTAACTTCAAGAATTATGCATACATCTTACCCTAACACCATCCCCAGGTTTATTATATACTTTCTTAAGTTTCTCTTCCTTATATTTTTTGTTTATTGGTGATTTTGATAAGCCAAGAGATTTCATTCAGGAAGAGAATCCATGTTCATAGTGGCAAGAAAGCAATGGTGATTTCTAGTTCGAAGAAAGCGAATCTCTCTGCTTCGAGGAAACAGAGAATTAAGCTACATATTAATGGAGAAAAGAAGCTTACTTTCAGTGAGTTCTTGAAACACCCATCTGGCATGGAAGCCGTAATCAACGCTAAAGCTTTGCAGAGTTATCATTTAGTCGATGATAATGATAATACCTACAGGTTCTTTCTTAGTCATCAACGTTCATAAGACACTGAAAGTTCTCTTTTTTTCTCAGTTTCTACATACTTGTCTGGCATAAAGATCTTTGTCTGCATATGTTTTTAAGGATTTTCATTGATTTAGTGTTACATGTAGCCTCTTAGTTTTCTCGGTGGCTGCAGAAACTTCTGTGTCTCTGAACTGTGTTAAGAGTGGAAATGTAGTACAAGTATCGAAAGAGTGTATCTCTGAACATGAACGTTGGTTTTTTTACTTGATATCTTCCAATCACTAGCTTGTGATAATGTATCATAATTTGTTAGCTAAACTATATGGACATATGCTTTTATCTGGAAAGGGAGATAGTAAATCTTTATCTTACAGTGCAGATGTACACTGCCAAAAGTTCAATTAATGAGCTTTGAAGTTTCTCCAGTACTTGTTTTGAGGGTCACTTCCACACAGGAAGATTGTACAGTCGAGCTGCTTAACTGCAAGGTTGTATAAAGAAGGCCTACGTTCCGGTTTATCGAAATATTTCTGTTGTTTTCTTTATACTGACGAATGTTTTGAATCGGTGTCGTGCAGTTGGAGGGGTCGGAGTTGTTGGAGAACCAAAGTGAAAGGTTTTTGGGTAAACTTTCGTCTTATGAACAAAGCATTTGAAAGTATCTCTGTTAATCCAAGGTTTCTAAAGTCAGACACAAATGTTTTTCCATTTCTGGTTTGCAGCGAATATGACAAATTGCATGACTTGGAACATGGAAGATCGAGAGCCATTTTTGGAGGTTGATGTGAAATTGAATGTCACCTTAGAGGTTGTGTATTGCAGTTCAGTTTCTTTCGTTTATTTGTAACTTCATTCTTGTGCAGTCCTCTCTGCAGCTTAGATGTAGCCGTAAGGATATCATGTACTACACTGCAAACTGTTGGGTCTTCTGCAATCTATTGTGCAGATACATATCTTATGTCTTGCGTGCTGTTGTTAAATGGCAACTGTGCTAAAAAAAAGGCTTTGTGTAGATTCTTAAGCTTAATGCTGCTGTTCATAACAACCTATCTTGTTCATGGCAGATCTCAACACGGCCTTTCACAATGCTTCCAGTATCAGCTGTTGAGGTTCCTGGGAATCTGTAAGTAGACATCATTCTTCACTTTTATTCATCTTTTTCTGCTTTCATGGCTTCAAATGTTGAGCAATGTTTATGACTTGATATTATGATGATGACAGAGTGATGCAGACACTGGTAGATACACTGGTTCCTCTTCTGCTTCAGCAGTTACTTAAAGATTACGACGAATGGATTCAGAAACAGCAACAAAACTCCTTATAAACACAGTGAAAACACAACTTTTAAATCTGTTAACAAATTTTTTCTCAATCGGAAGATGCGAGATGTGTTGTTTTGTTTTTGCCGTTTGAGGTGACATACGTGTATTCTACATAGCTCTGTATTAAAAGTGCATAGGTAAAGCTATTACTTTAAAAGTACAAACATTAATAAGGTCAAACAAATTTTGGTTCACTTGTAAACTTTGGTCTTTCTGTTGTCATAAAAATACAGCACACTGAGATTACTTCATAAGTTAAGTCTCTCCTGTCTGTATCCTAAACACTAAAGGCCGACCCAGTAAGATCGGCCATTGGTGTTGTGCATTGGAGATGGAGTAGGCGAAGATACCGACCATTCATACCAAACCTGAACCCAAACATGAGAAGATCAATAACAGTTCTCGAGATACAAAAAAGTTACTAGTTGTGCGGAATCATTGTGGTTTTAACTTTTTTTTTTACCTTAGAGGAACCACAACACCTCCAAAAGTGTACTTCTAATGGAGAATCAGGGTGAACCTCCACAGGCTTCCTCAATGGGAAAAATATTGGGAACCTGCCAGAAGGTAACACATGATATTATATCGGTTTTCTTTTTCGTTCTTTTCAAGCAAGAGGTTCGATAAGAGAGAGTCAACTGTTTCATGCCATATTAAAACATTATGCCATTACCAGCTGAACATATTCGGTGTTGCTGTTGTAGGCTCGATCCCAAGATGAACATCTTTATAAAGGACGGAATCAAAGTAGCCAGCAAATCCTGTTGAGTTATGTATGATCGCAGTAGACTCAGTTTCAAGTTAAGAAAAATGGAGATAGTAATTCCCATTTTAACAGACAAAGAAAAGCGAGTACCATGCACCAAGGCTGAGCCAGCGTCGCTTGGTAGATTGAAACGAAGCTTTTTGTAGCGTTGGTTGTTGGCTTTTGTTGAGAAGTTTGGATGAGTAAATGTGAAAACCTAATTAAGACCAAAACAAAACACCTGAGATCGAGAGATCGACATGACTTGTATAAATAAATGTATTCAAAGAGAACGCCTTAAAGCTATTAAGTAATCCTAAAGACAGGGAGAGACTCACAGATTGGGAAGGAGCAAGTTTAGCAACACTGTGCAGTTTGACGACATAAGCAGTTTCAAAGTGCGCGAGATCTTTATGAGCCTTAATCTGCCAAATAGTGTAAAAGACTCAACCGAAAATTCTTATGAGAAAGAGTACACAGCAAAAACCAGAAGAACATACATCATTGTAAAGCTTCGAAGCTGTCACAGGTTGTATGAAACTTGTATACCTAAAAAAAGTTACAATGATCATACTCGAGTTAGAGAAACAGAAGAACAGATGTAGTGTCCTTCAAGCTTTAAAACTGGCCTAGTAGTTTAATAGAGCATAGTTTTCTTATGGAAATTTGACTAAGAGAAGGAGTACACATACGAGGATGGTATTGAAATTCCATCTGTCTTCAGAAACCTTTGGGCTCCATCAAGACACTCAGGAGAGAGTTCATTGTCTCCAAAAGAACCCAACAGTTCACTAACCTGAAGAACAGAGGCAAACAAGAATTAGATGAACTGTAGAATGTCGGTATGAGTAAAATACCTACCAAAATATGTACATACTGACCAATATATCAGCTTTCTCAGGAGCACTCCAAAAACGCATGTCACAGGATATTATCGTAACAATGTCTTCCCACCCTTCCAGCTTAACCAAATTCTGTCAGAAAGAATAGTAATGCTCTATGAGTTAATTAAAAACTGCTCCGCACATCCGAAAGAAACAACATAAAACTTAGCCATATTTAAATTGACTCGGTTGCATTCAACTTACATGGAGTGTTACAACTGCATTAGGATTCTTTTCGACAGCATAAACTTTCAACTTGCGATCAGTTTCTTCAGCGGCCTGGGAAAGGAAACCAATGGACACAATCGATTAAGAAAAATAAATTTCAAAGTCTCCTTGTGATCAGCAGGGAATTGTATCAGAACTTTACCTGCAATGATGCCCTCACAAGGGGTCCTCTTCCTGCTCCCACAACCATCAATACCTACCGACTATAACTTTAGTACTATCAAGTATTTTATAAGGTTACCAAAAACAAAACATATAAGTGAAAATGCCACTTTGTAAGCAATGAAAGCGAAATATTGACATTTGACATACAGTAGTTAACTCAGACGCTTTTTCATCAGGGACCCTGTCCACCAAGGCTTTGGCAACTGCCCTTTGATACTAACAAAGCAAAGATGGACAACAGTTAGGAATGACAAAAAAAAAAAAACTAACTACACAAAATATGGGTATGATATTGACTTGTATAACAAAATTAATCCATCGATCTCCTCCCAGATAACAGAAAAGCTTTAAAAAGTTTAAGATGTGAATAAAACTAGCATATGCAACATACTTGGATGTATTTAACTGAGTCTCTCTCAAACGTCTCATAGGTTTGGGCTTCGAGGTTATCCATCAGAGGCTGTATTTAAAAATCAGTAGAAGCTCTTTACAGTAAGAATAGAGCAGTTTCATGACAGGTTAAGGTACTATGATCAAATAGATGGATATAAGTATTACTTATGAAAAGAGACT